TACTTTAATTTATTACTGTTGATTTGGACGCAATAACGGTAGAGGAGAGGAGAGCAAACAAAGCAAAGCAAAGGAGGAAACGCCACAAAGTGTACCATAGTACTATCGTTGTATACGTTACGGTAACTTCTCGTCGTCGAGCATAATTTGGAAAGAAAAAAGAAACGAGGAGGAAAGTTGAAGAAGGAAACAGCACATTAAAAAACGACTCTTAGATATCCTACTGAAGTACGCGTAAGATTACGAATTAACGATTGTAGTAAGAACTGTATATTTTCACGTGTGTGATATAGGTGAGACGAAGAGATCGCGGACCTTGAAAACGCGAAAATAAAAGACATTATCCACCGGAGGTAACGAGAAAGAGAGATAGATAAAGGCGTAACGTAGAGTTACGCCGATATGAAAGAAAAATCCTAGTCACACCAGCAGAAAAGAAAAATGAACAAAAAGAAGTGAAAAAAAAGAATAGAAACAAACATGTTAATTATTAGTTATTGTATTTTATTATATTCTATAACGCAATATTATCTAACGTGAACCATTCGTTGCCCGAAAAGAAAAAAAAAACTACTAATCTCGGTTGAGATGAAGATCGATACGTTACGGAGGGATATTTGTTCGGCCGCCTCGAATCTTTCTTCACGGCGTGTGAACGTGAGACGTGTATTAAAGACAGGGGGAAGAACTATGAAACTGTTTGTTGAACTATAAATAAAGAGAATGTAGCGGGGAATGTTTAACGATGACTTGTTATAAAAAAAAAAATGGAAAAAAAAGAAATGGAACTAATAATATATCCGAGAACTCGAGGAGACAAGCGAGAAAATATAATGCGATATTTAAGGATGCATTATTACGATATTGTTGCATTTAAGAGAAAGGGGAATGAGTTGTAACACTGCTCAACAAATTTTAACTTTTTCTCGGATTATTTTTGCTTGCCGAGCAAGCGTTTCCAGTAGATTTACGCGAGCCGAATGCGAATCTGTAAATTTGTCGAGGAAACCTTTTTTTCTTTTTCTTTTTTTTTTTTTTTAAAGACATCTTGTGCTTCAGCTATCCGTAGATTGAATGTTCGTCTTATCACGTGGAGCGAATCGTCTCTCCGACGTAAATTAGTTTTAGAAATAAATTGAAAGATATTCGCAAAAATTGGCACGGTTTTTTAGGTGCCTTTTCCATTTTAATCGCGAATTTGGAACAGCGTTTTTACGCGTTCGTAACGTAATATTAATCCTTTGCAGTCGAAGCTATTTGAATTCGAAATCCAAATAAAATAAAACTGTTACAAGATATAACTATATTATTATAAGATTATAAATATGTGGAAAACTTTGCTGGTTTCTCTGGTACTGACACAGAAAGACTGACTCGTCAAACTAAAATTCGTTCCGAACCTACGGTTAAATTAATAAATTTATATTAATAATTAACACTATGCCGTCCGCAGATCTTAGATATGATTCTTTTGTTTGACGTCGACATAATAGCTTGGAAATTTTAGATTTTAAAAAAAATTTCGAAGATGGCGGTAATATAAATTCCTAAAATTAAGATAAGTCGTCCAAGAATTTTCGTACTTAATTCTTAGTTAAATAAGCACAATGCTATAGTTAGTTTGCTGCCTTTTAACACCCAAGAAATATAGTTCAAATGTTATTTCAGTTTTTTAAAATGGCACCAATTTTGGTACCATTTGGTACCACCAGCATACAACAGATAGTTTTTGCATGGCACCAGCGTGGTGCCACCGGACGGCATAGTGTTAATAAATTAATAAAAAAAAAAAAACGGTAAAAAGATTTAGGCGGCTATTTGCCGACACTCGTCCGCAACGGTAAAAAGACTTGGGCGGCTATTTGCAGACACTCGTCCGCAAAAGGTTAATAGCTTCTTTTACATATAAACGAGTCTGATGCTCTTAGAATGATTTTGAAATATAGTATAGCAATTTTTAGTGGCGCCTCAGAGTCGCCACTCGAGTGCAAAGGGTTAAACTGTACCGTCTTAGTCGGGAGAGTTTACAGAATATTAATGAGCAAGTTAGAGGTGTGTAACTATTGCTGTCGAAAGCACAGGACGTCTTCGAAGGGTTGAAACGTTTAGCGTTTTTCCGCGGAACCGGTGTTCCCGGTGAAACCAGCACGCGAGAATTTGAACGCACGATTTACAGGCATAGTTTACGACGAAGCAAACCTGTCAGAAACGTTTGCTCGTCGTTAAGAATGGAAATGCGTGTTGAATAGTGTTATGGACGTGTATTTTTGGTCCGGACCACTTCGGAGCGCGTACCGCGCGAACGATTCGCGCGCACATTCTTTCGTCTCGTTTGTAGAAACGCGGGCATGTTGCGAGTCCCCGTTCGGCTTGTACCTACCTACAGTGGCTACCGAGTATGAGAAGCTACAAACGAGACAAAGAGATAGAGACGATGCAAAGAAAGAGAGAAACTAATTTACTTCAATACGCAAAACTTCATTTTACCGTATTAATTCTCTTATTTATATTATACCCAAGAGCTAGACTTACGTTACAGATAATTTTGTAGCGAGAATTTTGTCGACTAACGAGATACAGTAATGTCTCCCTTACTGACGCTCAGATTGTCCACTAAAATGGACAATTTGGGAAGAGAGGTGATACGATTATTACGAGCCTCGCGGTTCGTTTTTATAATTGTGGACAATTTATAACTATAACAATAAACCGCAAGGCTCGAACAATCGTATCTCCTCTACCCAAATTGTCCATTTTTGTGCGCAATCTGGGCGTCAATTAGAGAGACATTACTGTACTATTTCATTTTCTTTGATTTTTTTTCTTGTTATCGAGGAGAGAACGTACAGAAAGCCCGCTTCTGTAGAAGTACTGCACACCACTGGCAGAAAATATTACATCAAAAGTTCCAAAAGAATGATTTGAGCCGATATTCAAAACGAGAACTAGTATTGTATGTGTGTGTGTTAGATAATTAGATAATGTATATAGATAGATTGTACGATTAGGTGAATACGATAGAGATCATCGAAGATCATCAAAATAATGCACGTCGGATCGACAAGAGAAACACGACGACGACGATTCGATCGCAGTGACATTTTTAGCATTCGTAAAAGAAAAAAATCAAACACGATTCACGCTCGTACTATAGTATTTTCTCTAGGTGTAAAATTTTCACCGGTACGGTATTTCCCGTCGATATCAACGAGAGAATAATTTAACCGTGATCGACTCGAATGACAGATGTTCGCATTTTGTTTCGATCGTAATACTTTTTGCCAGGGGTGTAACGTAACTTGTGTTATTGTGTGTACATAGATCCGACGAGAGGTACGCCGAGCACATGCGTTAAAGTAATGTTTTAGATTATTTATTTAACGATCAGCTTTTATGTATCGCGGAAGAATTGGATTGCGTGACTTAGATCGATCGGAGGAAATATTTTTGCTACGATCGAGGAACGAACGGAATGCGTAGCCGTGGAGCTGAACCGGGATCTACGAGCTTACCTCTGTACGTGAAATGACCAAAAAAAAAGAAAAACAAACGAACAAACGAAAGAAAAAAAGAACAATACAGAAACGAAGCAACGGAAGCAAACACATATCAGAATCGTAGGAATAGCAAAAAAGCAACGAGAATGTCGCCTGTATTTGAATCTGCAATTCGAGAACGAACGTGAGGGACAACCGAATATTTTGTAAAAGACAATGGAAATGGGTCTTGAAGTAATAAAACGTTACAACATCCAAAGTGATCATGCCGCACCAATCGAAGACAAACTTTCTACCATTTTGGAAAATCTCGTCGCGACTAACAAAATAATTAAAGGATCGCTAAATTGTAACCCCAAGATTGTCGACCTTCGAATGCACGTAACTCCGTGTAAAAAAACATCTTACAACATTCTGCCTGCGCTCGTTACAAAAAGGGTAAAAATTCTCCAAGTTCAAAAGCGAGTATTCGCGAATCTTTGCGCCACGTGGTTACGGTGCATCGAAGCGCAACAATTCCTCTCGGTCATAATTCAATAATAATCTACGTTTCGAGACCGAAACGATCTTCTTGTAAGCGCTAATTCGTCATTAAGAAACGCGCACACTTAGTTTCCCTTGGTCCGGAAGAACGGTACGCGCGACAGCGTTGACAACTTAAATAATTTATTGATTTATACATTGCTATACATATTGTTCGCAAAGAGAACTTACGCATTTTAACGATACATACATATACATATGTGTGTGGTAACGGCTGAAACACGTTCGATCGTTCAGACGGGAATTTTTCACCCTAATTGCGCGGCAATCTTGCAACGTTGCGAAGCTAGTGTACAAATCTATGTTGCACCGTCTGCCCCGTGTATCTTATCGCGGATAATAATCTCGTACAGAAACAAAAGAACATCGTTTTGTCATTACTATCATGATCATGATAATAACAAATACTTAGGGATACAGAGAGTGAGAGAGAGAGAGAGAGAGAGCGCTAATTCGTGCAGATTTTTCACGCGATCGTCGGTGTTCATCGATCGAACATTGAAAATCCATACGGGCGTCGATTGTATCCATTGTTTACGTCGTTGTATCCAACGGCTGCACGGAAATGCTGAACGACGCGATGAAAACATTGATGATCGTTATGAGGAAAACTCCGATCACGACGTAATTGTTGATCTTCTGGGCGGTGAGGGAGTTCGATTTCCCCTTGATGTCGTAACGGCCCTTGAACACCAGACTGATACCCACGGCGACCTGTTCGAAAAAAAAACGATCATCGTTATTCATTGCACCAGCGGCTGTTGACCCTCCGGCGCACGGGTCCGCGGGAACCGCGAAGAAAATTCCCACGGATTCCTGTTCTTCTCTTTTTGTTTTTTCTTTTCTTTTTTTTTCACTCGCGACAGAGTTTCACGCACAACGTTGTTTCACGGAAAAACCACCGATTTGCATTATTAGGAGGGAGAGACACGAACGAGAGAATTCGGTGCACCGGAGGGTCGATCCGGCAACGAGCATCGTTTCCGTCGTCTTCGTCGTCGTCGTTTCTGCACGCGAGAACTACGAAGATGATGCTTCGAAAATAGAGCGCGCAAACCGAAAGGAAAAGTTTCGAGATGCTCGATCGGAGAACCGCGTTCTCAGCCACGCGGCTCGATGTAACACGAAATTACACGAAATGTACGCGCCGAGTTGGCATTTTTTCGATCGCGAAGAAACGTCGAGAGAAAAAAAGAAGAAGAAAAGATGTCAGTCGGATCGGTTGGATGGTTTTTCAATTATTTTCGTTCCGCCAGTAAATAAAGAGCTGTTTCTTTCGCGGGTCCAAAACGCTTTGATATTCATTCCAGCGACACCTGTTGACACCCGTTTTCCTCCTTCACCGTTTAACCCATTGACTGCCACGCAAATTTAGCGCGTCTTGCTCTGGGTGCCACGGTTTTATCTTAAAGATAACACAAAGTTTTACGAAATATAATAATATTAAGTTACTGATATAATATTGCAATGGCACTTACAGTATTTTTTTTATCGATAATCAATATGTTCTCTACACTATACATGGTGTCCCAAAAATGTCTCGCAATCCGAAAGTAGGGGATTCCTGAGGTCATTTGAAGCAACTTTTTCCTTAGCGAAAATGCGATCCGCGGCTTCGTTTACGAGTTATTAACGAAAAACAGTGACCAATCAGAGGCGGGAGCTCGGCTGGCGCGTGGCGACCGAGCCAACGAGCACTCGAAGGTCCAATTCCGCTTATTGGCTCGGCTTTCACTCGAAATTGAAACGGGGGAAACCGAGGGGTTCCTAAGGTTCCTCGGGTGATTCGAAGCAACTTTTTCCTTAGCGCAAATGCAATCCGCGGCTTCGTTCACGAGTTATCAACGAAAAACGCTTGACCAATGTGACACGAGCTTCGCTGGCGCGAGGGCCAGTTCCGCTGGCGGAGCCGAGCACCGACCGCTCGCTGGCTCGGCCGCCGCGCGCCAGCTGATCTCGTCTCTCATTGGTCACTGCTTTTTCGTTAATAACTCGTGAACGAAGCCTCGGAGAAAATTTTCGCAAAGGAAAAAGTTGCTTCAAATGACCCCAGGAACATTTCATTTCCGGATTGCGAGACATTTTCGGGGCACCCTGTATACATTTTTCATTCATCCTTTCTAATAGTTCCTAACTCGAACAACCATTTGTAGCCAATCTAAACTTGCAGCACCCACTACGAGATATCTCCTAGTTGGCAGTCAATGGGTTAACCTATTCTCCATTAACTTAGTCTCGGATCCGACGCATTGTTTTCGAGCCGTGGCCGTCCGACTTCAACTTACGAAATTCCGTTCGAACGTTTGGAACGTGAGAAATGCAAATAGCCATCGGCGGAGACTCACCTGCAGGGCCAGGCTGATGATGATCAGCGTCAGTATGAGAACGAAGGTGCTGCTCTTCTGCTGATACTCCAACAGATATCTCAGCTGATTCGCGTTCGCGGTGATCAGAGCAACATCCATCATCCCCTGAGCCACCGTCTTCTTCGCCGCGAAATTGTTCTGCTGTTTGTATTCCCGCTTCTTGTCGGTGGTGTCGACGATCACCGACGGATCCTTGATCACCACCTCCTCGACAGCGTCCATTTCGGCGTCCTTCTCCGCGACGTCCACCTTGTCCTTGTCCTCGCCCATGCTCTCCACTTTCTCCATTTTGCCTTTCTCATCCATAGCGTCCATTATTCGTCTTCTTGGCTGCTGTCATCAAACACGCCGATCAGCAAGATCACGCGCGTCCTGTGCTTCCGGACGCAACTCGTCGCACCAGTTCACGTAAACAGCTACAAAGACGGAATGAACGCAGGCGGTCCGAACTGCGTCTGTAACATTCAATCACGATTAGAGACGATCGATATCGCTGGTGACGCGTTATCAGGACTGTTCGAACGACAAAGGGTATTGTGGCAATCGGTTGCAACGGGATCCGCGAAGGCTGCCGCTCGGCAAGGAAGCCGAGCGCTACCGTAACGGGAGCCGTGAGTCTAGCTTTTGACAAAAGGCATTGTCGTAGCCGGACACCTGATCCGGAGCTACGTGACCCTCTGAGCAATTCCGATTTCTGGAAAGAACGCGTCCGCGTGTTCAGCCGCGACGAAAGGTGGACGACAAAAAACATTGCTCCGGAAAGACGACTGCGACCGACGGAAGCCGTTAGACTTATCGTTTATCATTTAGATCGCCCGGAAACCGCGGCCTATTTGTCGCGGCTCGATCGCTAAAACATATTTGCACCGGAGCACCCGCATTGATGTTCTCTTTACTTTCGTTATATGCTCTGTTTGCTTCGTAATTTCATGCACGATGTGTGTTAAATAATTAATTAAATAGTTGTTGATAAATATTAATTAAATAGTTGTTGATAAACGAACGTAGTACGGAACATCGTAAAATTACGACAAGTATGTAGCCGTCGAGATAATCGTGTTCGTTCCCAGAAGCAATTGATAATTGAAAGCACTTTTATTTTGATTAGAAAGCATATAATAAATAAGTATATAAATAAATAAATATGTAAATGAATGTATATATAAATATATATAAATATAAATAAATATATAAATAAATGTATACAAATATATATATAAATATAAATAAATGTATATAAATATATATAAATATAAATAAATGTATACAAATATATATATATAAATATAAATAAATGTATATAAATATATATAAATATAAATAAATGTATACAAATATATATATATATATAAATATAAATAAATAAATATATATATATAAATATAAATAAATATATAAATAAATATATAAATATTNATATATATAAATATAAATAAATGTATATAAATATATATAAATATAAATAAATGTATACACAAATATATATATAAATATAAATAAATGTATATAAATATATATAAATATAAATAAATGTATATAAATATATATAAATATAAATAAATGTATACAAATATATATATATAAATATAAATAAATGTATATAAATATATATAAATATAAATAAATGTATACAAATATATATATATATATAAATATAAATAAATAAATATATATATATAAATATAAATAAATATATAAATAAATATATAAATATTACTTTACGGCACCTATATGTACATATATTGTACACAAAGCGAAAGAAGCGTCACTTACAATAGTTCCCAATAAATCACTGTGTCCGGTCCAATGATCAGCACAATAGGGCGTGCAGGCGGTTCGATGCTCGTTTGTCGCTTCGAATCGAAATCGAGATCCTGCCAGCCGGGTCGCTGTCCAACGAAACAATAACGACGACTCGGCACGGTGTCGTATTATTTGGAAAGAGAGCGAGACGCGATGCGGTTTAACGAAACCACAAGTGACGCACACGACCGAAGGGAAGTGCCTAAGGACAGCAGCGTACACACAGCCTCTATCAATCAAAACAACGACCGATCCTGTTCGTATGCGCCGTTCGTATTTGTTCGTCGTCGAATGATAAATAAGAACAAACAAACAAAAAAATCAGAGATATCTACTGGAAAATTGGAAAAGCGACGATAAGGTCTAATTGTTCATACGGTTATTTTTAGAACGAGCAACGCAATCCGTGAATCAATCCGTTTCAGATCTGTTGCTCATCTACGACACCGACTTCGATTCTCGTTGCTATTGATTAATATATTGCGAAATTGACTAATCGGATTGCGATTATTGATAAACAATCGTGACTCATGCACTCGTCTGCAATTTATCTATCCGTTAGCGATGGACAATCGCAAAGCGATCTTTGCATCTTTAATCCCCTCCGGACGCAGAGACAGGCACGTGATAGAGCGTTTAATACGAATCTTACACGTTTCCCAGGCTGCAAAGTCACCAAATTCTCTCTTTTCAAATAGCCCAAAATATCAAATTTGTTTCCGTCGGTATAGCAATTTGGGGTTTCATTCGCTCGTGTTCATTTCGTCCAAGCATGCAACGCGTCGCTTTATCTGACAGCGACGCGAGATTTCGTTGACCAACGCCAATGAACTCGCCAATGTTTCGTCACGAACGTTTCAGACCCTGCGTGGCGATTCGCGCGAAGTGGAAAATCCGGGTGATGTTGACGCGTTGGGGATCTACAGTGACTCGCATTAATATTCGGACAGCATATTGTTAGAAGAATTTTATTGTTTAAGATAGTATCATTGAATCGATTGTTCTCTCATATAGTAAAGCACTACTTAAAGTAGAAACATAAATTTTGTTTATTTGTTCCACATGGTTTTTTTGTATAATAAGCGATAAACAAGATTGTGACAAAATTCTACGTCGCAAAAATATTCGGACAGCGAATTAATTACATTAATTTTATATAAAATGAAAATCTTTTCAAACATGTTATCATAATATTAATATTTTGTCGGTTGACCCTTTTGTTTTATTGCTTCATGTAATCGCTTGGGCATGTTACAGATGACTTTATTTAAATAATCCGGCGATCGAGGAGAAGGATGCAGTACTTTTGGACAATTGTTTAATAAATGTTCCTGTACAATTCTGGCCTTGTGTTTAGGATCACTGTCCTCATAAAACTTAAAACTGTAATGTACTTGTAATTAAATTTTTTTTTTAAGTGTCCAAATACTTCATTTTGTCCATAATATCATCGATAGAAACTAGTTCACCTACACCTATAAACGAGATCCCACTATAATTCTGTAACCCCACGCTATTACACTTCTACCACCGTGTTTCACTGTCGGTCTTAAATTTGAAATGTTTAATTCTATATTTACTTTACGCCACGCCATTGCTTTATTATATGAGAAAACAATTGATTCAATAATACTATGTTAAACAATAAAAAGGAGCAATAATAATTCTTCTAACAATATGGTGTCCGAATATTAATGCGAATCACTGTATGTGCATGGAAAATGGCATGAGATCTGATAATTTAGAAATCGACGAGATACTTTAGGGGTACAAAAATATTCAGTAGATTCAATTTATTAAAGTTATTAACACGTTAAGCGCAAAACCGATACCGCTGGGCTTTTTATTGAGGCTGGCATTATTTTTTAACCTTGATACTGCCAGTCTCGTGCGCCGATGCCCCGTCCGAACGATAGGTTATGTCAAGGTTATCATGTGCCGATGTCGTCCAAACGATAGGTTATGTCAAGGTTATCATGCGCCGATGCCGTCGAAACGATAGATTCGCTTTTAGTTAACTAACACCACCCAAACAAAAAGTACATACACTGTTAGTCCAAAGGGACTGACGCCGCCCGATGGAGAAGTCCACTGTCAGCCCCAGGGGGCTGACGCCGCGCTTATCGTGTTCAAAGAAGATGAGCATTTTCATGGAATCTGTGTTTCGTACAATTTGCTTGGACGATTAGCGGTGTCGCGTAACGCTCCGCGGTTTAACGATAACAACGACGCGGGAATCTGTTTCTTGCGTAATTCTTCGTGTAATTCGTACATTATCCATTGCACACTGTGTACAGTACAGATCGTACACACCATTCATTGCGGAAATATCGTACGGTAATTATTCATGCTACCGACTCGGTGAAATGACTCACTTGCACCGCGGTTTGCCGAAGTACAGTGACTCGCATTAATATTCGGTCATCATATTGTTAGAAGAATTATTATTGCTTCTTTTTCTTGTTTAACATAGTATTATTGAATTTAATATTTTCTCATATAATAAAGCAATGGTGTGGCGTAAAGTAAATACAGAATTAAACATTTCAAATTTAAGACCGACAGTGAAACACGGTGGTAGAAGTGTAATAGTGTGGGGTTACAGTTGTAGTGGGATCTCGTTTGTAGGTGTAGGTGAACTAGTTTCTATCGATGGTATTATGGACAAAATGAAGTATTTGGACATTTAAAAAAAAAATTTAATTACAAGTGCTATAAATATGGGTATACGTACAGTTTTAAGTTTTATCAGGGCAGTGATGCTAAACACAAGGTCAGAATTGTACAGGAACATTTATTAAACAATTGTCCAAAAGTACTGCATCCTTCTCCTCGATCGTCTGATTTAAATCCAATTGAAAATTTATGGGATCGATTGAACCGCAAAATTCGTACAACACCTACAAAGGCAACGACAAAGATAAAACAACGTTTGTTAGATGAATGGAAACGGTTTTCGCCGGATTATTTAAATAAAGTCATCTGTAACATGCCCAAGCGATTACATGAAGTAATAAAACAAAAGGGTCAACCGATAAAATATTAATATTATGATAACATGTTTGAAAAGATTTTCATTTTATATATAAAATTAATGTAATTCATTCGCTGTCCGAATATTTTTGCGACGTAGAATTTTGTCACAATCTTGTTTATCGCTTATTATACAAAAAAACCATGTGAAATAAATAAACAAAATTTATGTTTCTACTTTAAGAAGTGCTTTATTATATGAGAAAACAATTGATTCAATGATACTATCTTAAACAATAAAAAGGAGCAATAATTCTTGTAACAATATCGTGTCCGAATATTAATGCGAGTCACTGTATGTATTCGTTGTCGCAGACAATCGAGAAATCAGTAACTGATCGGTTTGTGGATTAAATCGTTCGAACAATACCAGCGTGAGAAAAATGTGGGGCGGTCGTTTCAACAAAAGCATCGATCTAGAATTTCGTGATCTGAATGCATCGATCGATATGGACAAGCGTTTGTACGCCGAAGATATACAGGTTCGTGCGAGATAAATCTTTATACCAAATTATTCGCGACAATCGTTCCAGAAAATATTTCATCGATTCGATCAAAATGTTGTAACATTTCGGTACGTAAAAGCTCAGGTATTTTCATCGCGGTGAAATCGCGTGTTTTGTTACATTATCGCGTTCGATAGACGCTCCCCGTGACGTCGAATTTGCTCGTCGATCGGCATCATTGTCACGATAATATGTGTCATCGATAATGTATTATTTACCCCTGCCGTATTAATTATCATTATCTGCAGGGAAGCGTTGCTTACGCGAGAGCGATACACAAAGGTAATCTTCTCACGGACGAAGAACTGCGAGCCATAATCGAAGGCCTAAAGAAGGTATTTAAGAACGTTCTCATCGATGAATGTACACGTCGAAATAATAGAAAACAATGGAATGCGTCTTAAAGAATAGGTGTCATGAAGTATATCGTGGATGAATGTTCGATTGTATTTAATTCAGAGAAAGGGTGGTTTTTTTATTATTAAAATCCAATTACACGCTTGATAATTCTGGTGTTTGTAAAAAAAGAATGACAGATAACAGAAACGATGTGTCGCGCAGGTGAAAGCTGAATGGGAAAAAGGTGATTTCGTCGTACACGCTCAGGACGAGGACATCCACAGTGCAAATGAGCGTCGCCTTTCGGTATATCAGTAACAGAATCCAGATTTTATGTTTTCAGTATTCTTTTCCTCCTTTCTACAGGGTGTCCCGAAAATGTCTCGCAATCCGGAAATAGGAGGTTCCCGAGGTCATTTGAAGCAACTTTTTCCGTTGCGAAAATTTTCTCCGAGGCTTCGTTTACGAGTTATTAACGAAAAACGCTGACCAATAAGAGGCGAGCTCGGCTGACGCGCGGCGGCCCAGTCAACGAACGCACGGAGCCCAGCTCCGCTCATTGGCTCGGCCGTCTCGCGCCAAATGATCTCGCCTCTGATTGGTCACTGTTTTTCGTTAATAACTCGTAAATGAAGCCGCGGATTGTATTTTCGCTAAGGAAGATGTAGCTTCAAACGACCCCAGGAATCCCCTATTTTCGGATTGCGAGACATTTTTGGGACACCCTGTATAATGTCTCGCGTCGCCGAAATTTTTCCGTCATGTGGAAATACAGTAAATTCTCCCTAATTCGCGCTCAGATTGTGCACAAAAATGGACAATTTGGGAAGGGAAGATACGATTATTTATAGTTTATGTATTCATATTATTTGTAGTTTATTATTATTTATAGTTACCGATTGTCAATTATAAAAACGAGTCACAAGGCTCGAATAATCATCGTATCTCCTTTTCCCGAATTGTCCATGTTTGTGCACAATCTGAGCGTCAATTAGGAAGAATTTACTATACTTATCGAATGCCAATGATTTCTCGTACATTAACTGTTGAAACTGCTTGTCTCATAATACCACATTCATTTGCGAAACAATCTCTTTCCCGTTTGCCTCAACAACTGATTAAACAGCGTAAGACTAAGCCGTGAGAAATCAAACGATATCTCTCGAGATATCTTATTATATTATATCGCATATATATTATATATATAAATATCTTATATATAGGGTAAAAAAAAATTTTTTTTTAAAAATTATCTTATATATAGGGTAAAAAAAAAATATTTCCTATCGCAGTTAATTAGTACTTAACCGACAGGAAATTGGAATTCTTTAAATTTAAATATAATAAAAAAAACAGGGTCACCGTTACACGAACGCGACTCACCCTGTATAGTATTTAATGAACGGTTCAGACCATTTTTTACCATCCGATGCAAGTTTTAACGACGCGGGTATTTATGATCAGACTGCGGATTATTTATGCAGAATAAAAATTGTCCGAGTAAATTGTTATTCACCTAGTCATTTTCGTGAAAAATGCATAAAATCCACAGTCTATTTATGATTCATTGCTACTTCATTACCATCAAGGAGCTGATCGGCAGCGTGGCCAAAAAGTTGCATACAGGAAGAAGCCGGAACGACCAAACGATAACTGACACCAAGTTGTGGCTTCGGAAATCCATAGACGATCTTTCCAACAAAATGACGGCATTCGTTGGGGTATGTTCTGTTAAGGATAAACGACAGTTAAGAACGGAAATGAGATGATTCATATTAAAGTCTTCGAATCATCGTGTAAATTACCAACTCAAATTACCAACTTCGTTCAGCTAAATGATAAAATTCGAATACAATCGGGGAAATTAATGCATTAAAACAAAAGTACGTAGCAGTAAGCAATAAAGATTTAGGCAAGTGTTTCACCAATAAGATCCTAGTCGATCGGGCCAAGGAAGAAATGGGAATCCTGATGCCAGGTTACACGCACATGCAACGCGCGCAGCCGGTTAGATGGAGTCAATGGTTGCTCAGGTAAATTTGCAAAGCTTTCTGGATTAATTTCTACTACCAAAATCACAGTAATTATTGGACTGCAGTTGATGAAATGCAAAATAACAAAAAACATTAAAAATATTATTATTTAAAATATACAAATTGGAAATATATTATCGCACTACTGTCAACTATTAACACGACTAAGAAAAGAAATTCGACCGATCCTTGAGATCCGGCCGCGTATGGCACGCACATGGGAAGGATAGAATTTCCCCGTCCGAAGATTCCTTCCCTCCCACGTTGCGGGTCCGCTAGAAATGTCTATGTAGGTCCAGCATCTCGTAACTAAAAAGGTATATATACAGGGTGCCCAAAAATGTCTCGAATCCGAAAGTAGGGGATTCCTGAAGTCATTTGAAGCAACTTTTTCCTTAGCGAAAATGCAATCCGCGGCTTTGTTTACGAGTTATTAACGAAAAACAGTGACCAATCAGAGGCGGGAGCTCGGTTGGCGCGTGGTGACCAAGCCAACGAGCACTCGGAGGACCAATTCTGCTCATTGGTTCGTCTTCCACTCGAAATTGAAACGAGGGAAACCGAGGGGTTCCTAAGGTTCCTCGGGTGATTCGAAGCAACTTTTTCCGTAGCGCAAATGCAATCCGCGGCTTCGTTCACGAGTTATCAACAAAAAACGCTTGACCAATGAGACGCGAGCTCGGCTGGCGCGAGGGCCAGTTCTGCTGGCGCAAGGCGGTCGAGCCAATGAGCGGAGACGAGCTCCGACCGCTCGCTGGCTCGGCCGCCGCGCGCCAGCTGATCTCGCCTCTCATTGGTCACTGCTTTTTCGTTAATAACTCGTGAACGAAGCCTTGGAGAAAATTTTTGCAACGGAAAAAGTTGCTTCAAATGACCTCAGGAACCTCCCATTTCCGGATTGCGATACATTTTCGGGACATCCTGTACATATATAGAGAGAAAGAGATTCGCGGTCCAGCAATTACTGTTGCAATTATGGCGGCATCGCAGACGACGCTACCGAATAACGAAAGAAACCACTTTCTGCGAACTTACAGCTACGCTTGGTACGCGAAAGCAGACGTGAAAAGATTGCAGGAAATCCGCGAACGATCGAACGTGTTGCCCCTGGGCAGCGGTGCGATAGCTGGCAACCCTTTCCAAATTGATCGACGTTCCCTGGCCAGGGAGCTAAACTTTCACGGGGTAACTGAAAACAGCATGAACGCGGTGGGGGACCGTGACTTTGTCGGTAAACCTAATCACAAAATTTTTACCGATCCATGTTTCGTCGCGTTTCTCGAGCACTTGGCTCTCAAGCTATTTTCCAAAACGATTCTTTCAAGCGGAATTCTTGTTCTGGTCGTCCTTGACCGCGGTCCATCTGAGTCGGCTCGCGGAGGATCTGATCATTTTCAGCAGCGAGGAGTTCGGTTTCGTGAAGCTGGCCGACGAACTGTCAACCGGAAGCAGTCTGATGCCGCAGAAACGCAATCCGGACTGCATGGAGCTGATCCGTGGCAAGTCCGGCACTCTGCTCGGAAAGGTTTGCACAGTGACGCGTTCTAAACAAATTCGAAACGCGTGTTTGTACGACGATAATGCCGGCGATATCTTGTCGAGACGATTCGATGGTTTAATATTTGACGTTCTAGTGCACGGGCTTCATGGCCACGCTGAAAGGAACCCCCTCGACGTACAACAAGGATCTTCAAGAAGATAAAGAGGCTGTTTTCTCCGCATTCGACATTGTAAACAGCATGATCGTTGTCGCCAGCAAAGCGTTGGCCACTCTCGAGGTCAACGATCGAAAGTGCCGGCATGCTTTAGTGCCTAACATGCTGGCAACCGACTTGGCATATTATCTTGTACGGAAGGGAGTACGTGGCCTTGTCAATGTTTCTTTTTCTTTAATAACTGTAACAATTTCTCTAATTATCTTCGATCCACCGATTTAAACTTGTTCTCTGTCGCAAACCTGTGAAATCGGCGGTGATTGAGCAAATAATTAGACTTAGTCATCATAAATGATCTCCGTTTTAATACGACGATTTGATTTCACAATTAAGCGAACAATTGTATCTCGAGCGATTATACGTTTGCAATGATTTGTTGTCACTTATCGGGTAGCTCGACTATGAGTCGTTAGGATGCCATGCGATCTTCGATTAGTTCTCAGAAACGGAGGTCATGATTAATGTGACTCGATCGCTTACAAAGAGTTATTCAAACATTTGAGAATCACAGTTTCGCTGCAATCGCAGGTTCCGTTCAGAGAAGCGCATCATTTGGCTGGAAACGTTGTGGTCCTTTCGGAGACTATTGGTGCACCGATATCTGGATTAACACTGGACCAATTACGATCCGTGAGGTAATTCGTCTTTTCTTCGCGTTATCGCGAGTTTATCGGTGAATTTCTGATCTTATTTTTACCATAGCAATATATTTGAAAACGACGTAATGGAGATATGGAATTTCGTGAACAGCGTCGAACAATATAAAGCGGAAGGTGGGACCAGCTTAGAAGCCGTAGAAAGACAAATTGGTATTCTCGAATCATGGTTGCGGCAGTCTAATTATGTTTAGAGTAAGTGTGGGTATTACCGCGGACGCCCCGAATACTGCGGTATTTTATAAAAGCAATAAAATCTAACATGTATAGTGTGTAATCGTCGAAAAATGAATCTCATAATTTTTTATATGTTTAACCCTTTGCGGACGAAGCCGCTCGACGGGTATTGCGTCGCTGTGGACGACAGGTATTGGATATAAAATAAAAATGTTATAAGATATAACTATATTATTATAAGATTATAAATATGTGGAAAACTTTGCTGGTTTCTCTGGTAGTGACACAGAAAGACTGACTTGTCAAACTGAAATTCATTCTGAACCTACGGTTAAATTAATAAATTTATATTAATAATTAACACTATGCCGTCCGCAGATCTTAGATACGATTCTTTTGTTTGATGCCGGCATAATAGCTTGGAAATTTTAGATTTAAAAAAAAATTTCGAAGATGGCAGTAATATAAATTCCTAAAATTAAGATAAGTCGTCCAAGAATTTTCGTACTTAATTCTTAGTCAAATAAGCACAATGCTATAGTTAGTTTGCCGCCTTTTAACACCCAAGAAATATAGTTCAAATGTTATTTCAGTTTTTTAAAATGGCACCAAAGTGGTACCACCGGCATACAACAGATAGTTTTTACATGGCACCAGCGTGGTGCCAACGGACGGCATAGTGTTAATAAATTAATAATAAAAAAGAAAGGTAAAAAGACTTGGGCGGCTATCTGCCGACACTCGTCCGCAAAGGGTTAATATTGATAATTCATGGTATACAAGTAACAGGAATCTTAGTGTTAATTCATTTATTGACTTTCGATATCCGGAAGCTTATGATAACGTTGATATGTCTCACAATGGTACAGAAGATATCGAAAGCTGAATTTATGAATTACTGTGTTCGTTCCGCATAAAAGTATGAATTTGCCACGGAACATTCGCAGTTCTTGCACGTCATTCCCCGTTCGACTGTTTCTGCGTACCCCCACGAAAACATGTCGTTTCATACGATCCCCGAATCGTAGTACGTAAATAATTTCTTTCGCGCAAATCCACAAGAACGAACGTTCGTTGATCCCACATATATGAAATGACAAGGAAGGTCGATCGGCTTTAACGTTGAGAGCAACGTTCTTTAACATGTGTTGACACGAACCGGCACCGCGCTGTCGCAAACTATGCTGATCGAGAAGATAGGTTATGCGGCGATCATATATTGGGGATACAAGCTGGCGCGCAATGTGATCTACAAGATTTATAGGAATTACACGGCGTCGACCGTCGATTTGTACACGATGGGCAAATGGGCGGTGATAACAGGATGCTCCCACGGTATCGGACGAGCGTACGCGGAAGCGTTGGCCAAGATAGGGATGAACGTGATCCTCGTCAGTCCCGACAACGAGGCTCTGAAAACGATCGCGGCCGGTATCGAGGAGATGTACAACGTGAAAACGAAAGTGATCAAACTGGATCTGTCGGAGGGCCTGGACACGTACAACGTGATCGAGAAAGAGATGTTCGGCTTGGAGATCGGCGTGCTGATCAACAACTTGGGCATGTCTTATCCGCATCCGGAATACTTTCTCGATCTTCCGCACAAAGAGAAGATCTACATGAGCATCGTTCACTGCAACGTCGTCGTCGTCACGAACATGTGCCGCATCCTGCTTCCGCAAATGGTCGTTAGAGGGAGGGGCGTGATAGTGAACGTATCATCCATGGTCGCTGTGCTGCCAAGCCCGCTTTTAACGGTCTTCGCAGCCACCAAGGCGTACATCGTTAAATTCAGCAGGGACCTACAAATCGAGTACGCGAAACACGGTATAATCGTGCAGTGTTTGCTACCCGGAACGGTGACGAATCATACGTTGTATTCGCCGAAACCGGGATGGATGGTACCGACGCCGGAAAAATATGTGCAAAGTGCAATTAAGTCCATAGGGAAGGACACCGTGACCACCGGTTTTCTCCAACATTCGATTCTGATCGCGATGATCAAGCTGTTGTACCGGGTGTCGCCCNCGGACGAAGCCGCTCGACGGGTATTGCGTCGCTGTGGACGACAGGTATTGGATATAAAATAAAAATGTTATAAGATATAACTATATTATTATAAGATTATAAATATGTGGAAAACTTTGCTGGTTTCTCTGGTAGTGACACAGAAAGACTGACTTGTCAAACTGAAATTCATTCTGAACCTACGGTTAAATTAATAAATTTATATTAATAATTAACACTATGCCGTCCGCAGATCTTAGATACGATTCTTTTGTTTGATGCCGGCATAATAGCTTGGAAATTTTAGATTTAAAAAAAAATTTCGAAGATGGCAGTAATATAAATTCCTAAAATTAAGATAAGTCGTCCAAGAATTTTCGTACTTAATTCTTAGTCAAATAAGCACAATGCTATAGTTAGTTTGCTGCCTTTTAACACCCAAGAAATATAGTTCAAATGTTATTTCAGTTTTTTAAAATGACATCAAAGTGGCACCACCGGCATACAACAGATAGTTTTTACATGGCACCAGCGTGGTGCCAACGGACGGCATAGTGTTAATAAATTAATAATAAAAAAGAAAGGTAAAAAGACTTGGGCGGCTATCTGCCGACACTCGTCCGCAAAGGGTTAATATTGATAATTCATGGTATACAAGTAACAGGAATCTTAGTGTTAATTCATTTATTGACTTTCGATATCCGGAAGCTTATGATAACGTTGATATGTCTCACAATGGTACAGAAGATATCGAAAGCTGAATTTATGAATTACTGTGTTCGTTCCGCATAAAAGTATGAATTTGCCACGGAACATTCGCAGTTCTTGCACGTCATTCCCCGTTCGACTGTTTCTGCGTACCCCCACGAAAACATGTCGTTTCATACGATCCCCGAATCGTAGTACGTAAATAATTTCTTTCGCGCAAATCCACAAGAACGAACGTTCGTTGATCCCACATATATGAAATGACAAGGAAGGTCGATCGGCTTTAACGTTGAGAGCAACGTTCTTTAACATGTGTTGACACGAACCGGCACCGCGCTGTCGCAAACTATGCTGATCGAGAAGATAGGTTATGCGGCGATCATATATTGGGGATACAAGCTGGCGCGCAATGTGATCTACAAGATTTATAGGAATTACACGGCGTCGACCGTCGATTTGTACACGATGGGCAAATGGGCGGTGATAACAGGATGCTCCCACGGTATCGGACGAGCGTACGCGGAAGCGTTGGCCAAGATAGGGATGAACGTGATCCTCGTCAGTCCCGACAACGAGGCTCTGAAAACGATCGCGGCCGGTATCGAGGAGATGTACAACGTGAAAACGAAAGTGATCAAACTGGATCTGTCGGAGGGCCTGGACACGTACAACGTGATCGAGAAAGAGATGTTCGGCTTGGAGATCGGCGTGCTGATCAACAACTTGGGCATGTCTTATCCGCATCCGGAATACTTTCTCGATCTTCCGCACAAAGAGAAGATCTACATGAGCATCGTTCACTGCAACGTCGTCGTCGTCACGAACATGTGCCGCATCCTGCTTCCGCAAATGGTCGTTAGAGGGAGGGGCGTGATAGTGAACGTATCATCCATGGTCGCTGTGCTGCCAAGCCCGCTTTTAACGGTCTTCGCAGCCACCAAGGCGTACATCGTTAAATTCAGCAGGGACCTACAAATCGAGTACGCGAAACACGGTATAATCGTGCAGTGTTTGCTACCCGGAACGGTGACGAATCATACGTTGTATTCGCCGAAACCGGGATGGATGGTACCGACGCCGGAAAAATATGTGCAAAGTGCAATTAAGTCCATAGGGAAGGACACCGTGACCACCGGTTTTCTCCAACATTCGATTCTGATCGCGATGATCAAGCTGTTGTACCGGGTGTCGCCCACTTCCATTATCATTTGGATGATCAATATCATGGAGGGAAATCGGAATAATGTACTGCGTCGTTACATTGGATAATTTTGTAAAAATATTTAAATATATAATTCGTAAGTTGAAGAAGAAGAATTTGCTAATGTATTGTAATATATATATTTTTTTTAATAAAATGCGAAAATCGCTTCGATCGTCGAATATATTTGATCGTCGCAAAAGGGTACAGATTTTCCACCGGTATAGATATGTATTTAAATTCAAATTCAAATGTGTCGTCCCTTTCTGGAATCGTGGAATGGCACATGTTCTTACGCATGCGCATCGCAAGTGGTAATGACTAACAGTGCGACAGTATATGAACCTTAGACCATATACACCCGACAGAATAGATTTTCCTGAACGATTCTGTATCCTCGGTTTAGTTTTTTATGGCCTTGTTTTGCCATGATTAATGTTTTTCGGCGACCCTGCATTCTGCGCATGCGTGCGACGTTGGCGCTTTTTGCGGAGAAAAACTGAAGCTCCGTCCGATGTCCGTACAGCGCCAATTGGTGCAGTGGCGAAACACTCCAACTATTAGCCAAAATCGACTGTTGGTGATTCTGTAACGAAATCTGTACGGTCAGATACCGACCTGCTGAATCCGTAAAATCACGTGACTATTATAACCCCATGGACCTAAAGGACGGAGCCTAAAGTGTATTGTACATAGATGCGGAATATAAATATGCACGTAAAACGCTCTTTAGGTGTGAACAAACCATAACTGTTATTACATTGTCAAGTGTTTATATTTGGCATCTCTTGCATATGTGTTGGTTGCATTTACATATATTACGATACCTATGTATTTATTGCTAAAATAGTCGCGTAAGTTCCAAGCATTCAATTAACTTTATATTACGCTTATTTATGTTACGACGGTTTTTCTCCATACTGTCGAAAAGACAGGTTTGTTATTAAAGCATTTTTGAGATTAGATCGGTGTAGTTATATGTATGTATGTATGTAAGCCAAAGGCTTATTAAGTTATTAAATTGATTTTTCTTTGCTATCATTATAGGTTTTTGTATTTAATAGAAATTTTTACGGCATATTGATAGCAATATATAATATCGAGTTTTTAAAGAGCAGAAAACGCTGTCACCTGACAGGAGCAAATATTGTCCGATTACTTTGCCGGGTAGACCGGCAATTTTGTTAGGGTTCAATTCCTAACAGTGACAATAGTATTCGAGTACACGTTAAAAATCGTTTACATGCAATATAATCGCTAATACTACTAATTTAGCTACTATTTACACTACTATTTACATAAATGTAAATTATATAAAGGACAAAATTGGATCCCACAGACTGTAAACAGTGTTCAAGAAAATATCATGGAGAGCACCAGGTACTATGACAATCCTTTTGAGGACTATCCTAATCCAAAAGCTGAACAACTTGTGAATGCTGCAACAAAGGAGGTAGTTTACATATACTGATTACAAAATCAATGTTTTAAAATTTTATGATCAAAATATTTTGTGTCTGTCAGATCAATGAAGAATATAAAGAAATAATATATAAGGGTACAAAAAAATTACTGGATCGATTAGAAGAGAACCAGAAGCATTGGTTATCCCATGACGATTATTCTGTGTATACAGGATCAGCTGGGATTGCATATCTCTTTTACCATTGTGGCAAATGTTTGGATGAACCTGCTTACATTGATGTAATTATAAGTTTATGTATATTATATATTTCTTTTCATTCAAGTAATTAACTTTAATGCAACTTTTTATATAGAAAGCAGAAGAACTATTGAGAACATGTGTGAGCAAATTCAGAAGTAGGCGTGAAGTTACATTTCTAACTGGCATTACTGGTCCATTGGCTCTGTATGCAGTCGTTCTTCATTCGCAAGGGAATAAAGAAGAATTAAAAAATATAATAACTAAGTACGTATGTACATGGTACTCGTGTTCCATGCATAAATATGTAACAATTTTTATGTTTCCTTTTAGATTGAAGTCATTATCACCTCATGTTTTGAATGAAGATAATGATTTACCCGATGAACTGCTTTATGGACGAGTTGGATATTTATTTGCCCTTCTGTTCTTGAATAAACATATATCTCCTCCACCCATAGAGGATAAGCTTATCAAACAGGTATTAACTTCAAATTAAAATGACGATAACGTTGATTAAGCCATTACAGAATCAGTTAGAGTCATTAAAAATATTATATCAGGTCATTGCAATCACAATCAAATCAGGAAATATATATGCCTCATCGAGGAAATACAAAACACCCATAATGTATGCTTGGCATAATTCAGAATATCTCGGCGGTGCACATGGATTAGGTGGAATACTTTATCTGTTATTGCAAGTATGGAAATTTTATTGTTGTGCCTCCGATTTGAACGTACACTGGGTGTAGATCACTGCTCAGAATAAATGTGTTCTAGGCACGACCATACTTAACACAATCTCAGTTGGAAAACGATATAAACCCAGCATTACAATTTCTTCAAAACTTACGTTATCCTTCTGGAAATTTTCCATCATCCATTGGAAGCAATACAGACAAATTGGTACATTGGTGTCATGGTGCACCTGGAATGCCCATGTTATTCTGTTTAGCGTATGAGGTTGCCACTATTTTTACTGAAACAATGAATTAATGAAGCCTAAGTAACTATAAGTAACTAAGTAATTATACGTTTAAATAGATATATGAAGACAAGAAGTACCTGGACACCGCTCTACAATGCGGCGAAGTGATTTGGAAGAGAGGTCTACTTAAAAAGGGGTATGGAATATGTCACGGGGTTGCTGGAAATGCTTATGCATTCCTATGTCTTTTCCAACAAACAAAAGTTAGAATTTTACACACACAGCAAATTATATTTTTATTAAATTTATACTTGAACTGTCTAAATATTAATGAACTTCTGCTTCTGCTTCAGGATATAAAACATTTGTACAGAGCTTGCAAGTTTGCAGAATGGTGCATCGATTATGGAACACATCAAACGAGATCTCCTGATAGACCATTTTCATTATTTGAAGGTACTGTGTTGTAATTTTCAGTTTAGTCGAATTATTTTCACTTAATGGTGCATATACTATTTCAGGTCTTGCCGGTACGATTTACTTCTTACTTGATATGCAAAATCCATCTTCGGCTAAATTTCCAGCTTACTCGGTGTAAAATGAAACTACCTTAACATTTATTATTTGTTCAACATAAATATGCGATCAATAGAATATTGAATTAGATCATTTACAGACTACTATGAAACTTATATTTCCAATTCATAAGCAAAATTGCATGTGAGAGCATGTAACTCAATGTATCCTTTATTAATGAATAAATCACTCTACAGATTCTATCATAGAATATTATTAACGTGTTAAGATCATAGTGCAACACTAATTCTTACGTCGCATTTGAAAGAGACAATAGTAAAAGTGAAACCTCGGTCACGCCGCACCAATAAATCCGAAGTCCACAGCTCTATATTGGTCAATGGGTCACTAATATTCATGACGGGTCGTACGATGGTATTTGTAAAAGCGTAAAGAGAAATGCTCCAAATACTACCATCATTCAAAACTTTCGTTGTTGTCGGAGCATTGACATCATGACATCAGGCATTTTTTAAAATATTTAGAATAAGAATACGGCATCTCATATTCAACTTTTATTTAGTTTCCAAGTTCAAGATCAATGTTTCTGTTGCATTCGTTGAATTAATTTACCGCGACACGAAAAACCGTATCTTTTTTATCAAATTAAATTACTCTGTACTTAAATTTTTATTAATTTACTTTGTTTCTTGGTTGGATAATTCAATTTTGGAATATTTATTATTTTCTGAAGTGTAAATCATAAACGAATTGGCTACTTGTTACTCGTCGCTAACATTAATACTATAATAATTATATCTGATTGGAAAGACTGATAGTTCACATGGCGATTGAAAGTGTAAGTGGTCAACGAGCGATTCTTCCTGGAACTTTTAACTAGTTGGAAGGTGGATCCTCGCTGGCTGGGCAGGAGTGGTGAACATCTCGAGTATAAAAGCCGCTTCTGCCGGCGGCGCGCTTTAGTTTTGCTCCATAGCGACTGATTCTGAAACTACGCTCTCGACGTGAGTACCATTCCCCACCGTAGTAGGGTCTTGCTTTTCGCGATCATTTAATTGGTTTCCAAGAATTACTCCCAAAACTGCGCCAAGTGTCGTGCACCGACATCAATGTAATTTCTTAAGTGCCTAGAAAATCAAAAAACCGTATACGTTTTGTTTCAGTGATTAGACCGAGGATGTTTAAGCAATTCACAACACATTTGTCCACGGAAAGAACAATATGTGTTGCAATAGAAAAATCTACATTCAAAGATTCATAATCATTAAATATATCTAAATTCCCATGTAAAATAAAATATAATTTTCTGCATATATAGACATTTTTTTATAGAAGTTACTGCTCAACTTGGCTAATAATTCATTGATCACAATCATTATCTCACCTGTGATTTACCATAAAATTTATGTATCAAATTTATGTTCAACTTTACTAAGAGTTTTCGAATTGATTGGGCTAATTGCCTTACAATTTCTTGCAAATTCACAAAGATTACAATCTACATATCTCATTGTCCTATTTTCTTTTATCATACATCATCGGTTCTTGTGTAACTTCGAAGCCTCATTTCTTTTTGTATCGTTTAATCGTTTCTGTTGAGAACAGAACCAGTGAGAAGCAACGATCTATGACCGATCTCTTGATCTTACAACGGTTTATTACTCTCGAGAGGCTGCGGTGAAAGTGAGAGTGTGTCTTAAGAACGAAATTAACATACTCCATTATCGGTATACTGCAGTAATTAACGGATTTATAGCTCGTGTAATTAAAGTCTAACAGTCAATATAAGATAGAGTTTAATAATGTTGAATGAAAGTTTAGTTTATCCGACGTTTAAGAATATTTTTATCGACGAATACCTATTATTTAAGCATAATTAGTTTTATTCTTATTCTTAATACACGCATGTTGCAAGGGTTGCATACAATCGTGCGCAGCTTTTCCCGCCCCCGAGTTCACCGAAAAATCAAAATAAATTTGCAATTTGCGATAAAAATTCACGATAGAAATTTATACTATGCTCCAGAGTTTCGCATAATATTTCTCCTTTTTTTTATTATTTTACTTTCGTTGTTGAAACGATATTCGAACACGGTAAGCATGGTTGTTGCATTAGAACGCTGCTTCGCCAAAAATGGTGTCTTGCATCGGACTCCAATCTTTCACCAATCAACAGTGCTACACTTATGTGTGCACCTAATTGCGTCAGATATACTCTTGTAAAAACCGGATCGAGCATCCCTCTCACATCACGACAAAATACAGGATAAATGTCGCTCTAGATTCGAACCTGTTTCTCGGCGTAGAAAAAACGCGGGAACGCTCTCAACCTACACGAGGAAACCTAGTCGTTGACGAAAATCAATGCTCTTACCTACAGCGATTTCAAAATCAACGTATTATGAAACTGTTCGCTTCTGTTTTACAGATGGCTGTTCGCTTAACGGTGCTGGCGGTACTGCTTCTGGTTGGTGCATGCTTGGCGTACCCGCAAAAGGACGGTCAAATTTTCAGCAATGAGGCTATAAAACAGGCGCAAAATACTTATCTTATTCCAAAGGACGCGACGATACAGAAAGTACAAGAAGGCATCGAGTTGGCGGCGTACGAATCGATCCCCGGCGATCAGAAGATCAATCTTTTCGAAATCCTGGGTGACCATGTGCCACCGGAAGTGGTGAACAATCTTCAAGCTCAGATCGATCAGATAGGACGACCTTAGACCGGACTCTTCGATCCGAAACATCCTTGTAAAGAATTCTTTAGTCCTAAGTTTTGTACCGAATATTTATGACATGTGATAATGTGCTCCTTTTTTTAAACGATGTACTTAGACTTTTCACCTTTCGTGAATAAACGATTGAAAACGTGTATTTGTTCTTATCATTTAGATGCTAAACAGTACCTCGTTAATAAGAAAAAATCGGGAATCGATCCTCTGAATCTGGAGAAATATGTGAATGTTCGAATATCATTTGATTATAAAGTCAAATTATTGTCAAATTGATTTATCATAAAGAAAGATACATTATTCAATGTATTGTGAAACGTTGAATGAAATCGACTGCCAGAATTAAGTATGTGGCCAGCGATGTCGTGGAGAAAGCTGTAGAACCACAAACCAGCGGTACACTTTCACTTCTCCTACATTCACGTTGTTATCGAGATGGCTCTTCTTTCGTGCATGTTGAACAACACTGTATGATAATTCGAATGTAACATCAAATCATCAATTAACTGTATTTCGGATCAGGTTGGTTACCGAAGACGTTGAAAAAAAATAAGACAAAAATAAGCCAAGGGTATGTGAAATGTTTCGCAAAACTTACACTTTCATCACACTTTCACCGCCACGGGTTCCCATCATGTTTGTTTCTTTCCTCTTCTCTCGAATTCAACAGGAAAGTCGTTACGTAACGTTTCACAGGTGTATGAATTTTTAATTACATCTTATGTTACGGTTATTTAGAAACAGTATTTCGATTTTTCATTTTACATCATCACAAAAACATTTTTGCTTAGCAGGCGGTTGGAGCAGGTTTTTGTAATATTTATGATCTTAAAAATGTATTATATTCAGTTGTTAAACAAGGATTTTTATTATAATGTAGTTTCCTTCATATAAAAATAAAAAGATTTGTATTTGAAAGATCTTACCAATGAAACTGCACAAATACATCGAAGCCACTTGTTCGACGCCCGATGAATGACAATTATTCGTACATTAATGATAAATAACTTAAAAAGTATTTATTTCGTTTACCAAGGTACAAATCTCAGAACAATGCGAACGTAATTATCAAAGGTTTTTTTGATCCGGTTCAGCTTTCTTCGCTTAGCAACTTAATGTCTAAGTTCTGGATATCTTATGTACGAAGGTTATCACTAGTGCATTGTCTTGCATTGAGGCCGTGTTATGATTGTACCTATAACAGGTTACTCTTTGCCACAATAGTCATGAATAAACATATATGCCCATTTTCATTAGTGAACGTTATTACAACAGACGAAACAATTTTTCCTTTCAGTCACTATCTATACAATGAATATTGTTTGATTTTTTTTAATACAGTTTCACCAACGTAATTAGTTCATTATTATTAAACTGCCGATATTTGCAGGTTTATTTTCAATTTTAGAACAGAACCTTCTGCACAAATACTTGACGATTGGATTTTTGTATTTGTGATTCAAAGTACAAAGAATATCAAGATTTGATAAACATTTGCAGTCTAGTTATCGTATAATGGAATGAAATAATTCTGTGTTAGTATCTATATTATTAAAGTATACTTTCCTAAGTATACCTTCTGTGTTAAATAAAACAATTATGTATAAATTACAAAGACTGAAAGTACACATTAATACATAAATTTGTAAGAAACTAACAAAAAGTATGCCTGGCACGTATTAACAGTGCTGTAAAAAATAATAAATGTGTTGGAAATTCAAATTCGAATATCCCAAGTAATATCAATGAATCGTTCACCAACCATTTAATAAAGTCAATGCAAGAAAATGTACTGTTCTTCTAATTTAATCGACGTACCACGAGTGAGAAAGCTTTTAGGTAGAATCAACTTGGTGTTCTTTTTTTGCATGTGCTTTTTTTCAGCGAGTGAGGCAATCCTTTTCACTTCCTATAAGATAATCATATATATATAACAATGACATTAATAATGATAAACTTACAATGAATATGAAGTAATAATTATTATTATTATACGTACTTAGACCTCTTCGACCCCCTGTCGTTTCTTTCGGCACTGTCATCGCGAGATCGTTTCTTACTGCTAGATGAAGAATGGCTCGATTTGTGTTTGTCGTGTCTGTCGCTCTTCTTGGGACTGCGCAGAAAGAAAATCAGGCGTAACAAAATATTGTCTATAAGACAAACTTTTATATTAATCACCTGTATTTGGACGATTTGGAAGGAGACGCTTTCTTGTGCGATCCCCCACTCCGTGATCGATCCGATCTTTAATTTTAGAAGCATAGACTTAATACGTTTTAACAACAAGTCTTAGCGTTCCAAGTTAAAGCTATAAACACGTGCGAAATAAAAGCAATATCTTACCTGTGTTTGTCCGACGATGAGGATTTTTTGTCTTTACTGCTGGACGATGATTTACTTTTGTCTTTACTACTGGAAGAGCTCTTATGTTTCGAGTTGTGTCTGCAATAAATTAACAAAACATAAGTTTCATTCGTACAAGAGTATAATGCTTACAAAGGAGAATTAATAATTACCTGTCTTTTGATAGCGAAGGTGAATGTTTGCGGTTGGACTTCTTCTTTTTGCTAGAATTATAATCATCACGGAATTGGTCGTCTCCTCTTTCTTTATCTTCCTCGGCCGCTTCTCGTTCCAAGTCTGACCAATCTTTACCAGATTCTTCAGAACTGCCCAGTTCTTCTTCTACAAAACAAAAGAACTTTTGCAATGAAAAACATCGACCTTTCCTTTGCCTGTTGCAAAATAATTAAAACAAATGAAATACCTTCACTGTCTGAGTCTTCAGAAGCTTCAGAGTACTCAGAATCATCATCTGATTCCTCTTCACTGTCTAAATCAGTTGGCTAAAGGAACAGAATATATATATATATACAATGAATATTAATCGAATAAGATTTCTACAAATAATCGCAGACATAATATATTCCAAACCTCGTAAGCATCGTCCTCCTCTTCCTCTTCGTCCTCCACCTCATCATTTTCTGCGTCGCTCTCTGGGTCCAAAAAGGTCCAACCGCCATTATCAAAGAAGCCAACAGGGTCGTCCGTAATTGTTTTCATAATTTTGGTCCAATTCAGAGACTGTACACCCTCCGTGTATCTAATGTCGCAGGAGTTCAACCATTCCTTTACATGATCCAGCAAGTTCATAGGAATGGCATTCAGCATCGCAACTTTTCTATGATAGTCTTTGAAGACGAAGATCATATCGAAGTTTTTCAGATGGAATTGTACTCTCTCGAAATGGACCAGCTCAACGTCCTCTAATGTGATAACAAACGGAGGCCATTCTGTAAGGTTGACTAAGCAACCACTAGTAGGTTGCAAAAGAACAGTACTCCTGAACGGTGCTCCAGGGAATCCTAGTTCCCGGAACGGCGTATCGAATTCAATTTCTTGTTTAGTCATGCTCTCAACCTTCTCGCAGAAACTTTTGAAAGCGGTTTTCAACTTGTGCCTGAGCTCTCGCTCGGATTGCTCAGCAGCCAGATCGTCGCGATCATGCATATGCTGATGCTTCCCTAAATCCGTCGTGATCTCGCCTACTTCTGTATAAAACTGCACATCTACGTGCTTTTTCTTTCCAAACATTATAGCATGCTTCAAGTGAAAGTGAAGCAATATAATCATTTCTCCATCACATGGTTGGAAGAAGGCGTTCTTAATATTATTGTAAAGAATATCGACTTTGTCCCCTCTGACCGAAGTATATCGGAATCCATTAACATGTGCCTCCAAACCTCCGGTCATCCTTTTCGAGACTATGTTTGGTCGAATGTATAAATCTTTCAGTTTAGGGTTGCCCTTGTTTTGCGACAATATCAATGTATCCTGCTTCACCAGATCTTCTTTCTCTCTTTCCTCTGCTTCTCTGTTCTTGAATTTCTTTTGGACTTCTTTAATCAATCTGAAGGCTGTGTTTAAATTGGACGACGGTGCCGAAATTTCACCAGGTTCTTTGGTGTTTGTACTTCGATATGTTCTGAAATAAAGGTAAAATCGTTAGTATGCAACGTTTACAAACAAATGAAAACATGATACTAACACTTCCTTGACGAATGTAGCATCTGGTTGTGGATAAGTTCCACCTTCGTTACGTCCCATTGTAGCACCAGGATGGAAAAAGTTGATTCTCAGATACGTATAATCTCCTTCGACGGATTGAGAAATATTTTTAATGGTGGATATGTGAAAGGGTACTGGGATACCAAAAATCGGTAGAATTACCGTTTCATATTTTTTATCTGAAAAATAATAATAATAGTAGAAATTAAGTGAACACGAAAATATGTGAATTACACACTGCTGATACCTACCAACATATAACTTCAATTCTTTGACTTCCGGTTCACGAGGCATGTGACTCAAACTTTTGTACGATACAGTCGATTTTCGTATTTTTTCCTGTTCTTTTCCACCAGATTGCTGAGCTAACCGAGCTTTCGCTACTTCGTTCAATTGTTGCGCCAGTTCCTTCTGATGTTGTTTTCTTTTCTCTTCCGAGCTATGCTCCGTTCTCAACTTGGATTCTATGACCGCAGTTCTCTTACCACGGCCAAGAGGCATCTCGGGCTTAGGTTCGTTCTCCTTCCCACTTCCTTCTTCTTCTTCTTCCTCTTCATCCTTCACGAATATACCAACATTTTTAACTTTTTTCTTTGACGGTGTCAAGTTCGTAGCTGGTTGACCTTCATTAACCATGACAGTGTCACCGATAAAAAGAGCATACATTTTTCCTTCTTTCTCATTGGCTTCCGAATTCGAGAGATTCGACAACCCGACGTTAACATTAAATACCATGCCTTTCTTCACTACCGCATGGGTCTTTGGACCAATAAGCAGGGAGCTTTCTCTAAATTCAATACCCATAGCAAATCCAAAGTTTTTGGTTAAATGGTCTAACATATTTGGTTTCTCGTCCTTTACATATTTCACACCAGCTTCGTATACTTCACTTATCTTTGTTCCGGATGTCAATTTCTTTAAAATCTCTTCTTCCAATTGTAAAAGAAAATTGTAATTATCCTAAGGGTAAATATATGTATACGTTAGTATCTTCTATGTACAGTTCGTAAATCACGGTCATACAAGATTTACCTCGATCGTTTTCGTGGGATTTACCAGCAGTGTTCTGACTATGTTAGAACAATAAGACTTGTACCGTGCTCCAAGTGAACAAACAATGACACCAAAATGCAAAGTGTTCTTATCACTAACAACGCTGAATTTTAGGGAATAGTTTCCACCGCTTTGTATTATCGCTGGATAACACATGTCTACTTGGGTAACATCGACGCCAGTTACATACTTCTTATTTGTTATAGCTGCGTCTACACCTTCTGCAAGCTTTGAGTGTTTAACTTTCTGAAATTAAAATTAATACAAATTATAAACTGTAACACCTCTGTTGCTGGACTTGTTCATAGTTTTAACAAACGTAAGATCATTTACTTTGTCAGAATCTATAATTTCCATAATCTGATCTTTAAGGTACTTTGTGAAAACATCTACAGACACCAGACATGCTTTCTTTATGGTGAGAATTTCAGCATCCTCTTTTGGACACATTACATATGCAGCTGCAGCACTTACATCAACCTAAATAATAAAGTATATAATATGAAATAAGTAGACTAATGCTTAATACCACTATTTTACACATAATTATATCATACCGTATCAAAAGACTCAGACTTCAATGCAGCTCTCCATGCATCCATAAAGGCACCTGGATAATTTTCTTTTGAAAACACGCCTAATGTTTTACCCTTCTTGCTTTGTTTTATAATTTCAATGAGTTTGGCAAAGTTGGCTTTATCTTCGTCATTCTTTTAAAAAAATCATATACACAGTTAAGAAATATATCGGACAATAAATTACAAGTTTACACTTGTCTGGAGAAGGTACATGTTGCATAGAATACGTACTCTGTCTCTCACAAGCAGTTTTACAGGAGGCACCCCAGTTTCTTCTGACTTTTGGTTCTCTAACTTTCTTAAAAATTCAATTTTCTTCTTACTAGCCAGAAAATTGACAGAATCTTCCGCCAAAATCATTATAGTATCGGTAAGTTCATAACTGAGTAGCCATGTCTGAAATGATCGATTATGTTTAATGAAACAAGAATAACATTAAAGCATTATTGAATACTTGAGTCGCACAACAGAGGAAGAAATTACCATTTTACATCTAACGAGTCTTTGTTAGTTATATAATTAACACCTAATTTATAATGCACAGCTGCAAGAGCTGTTTCGTATTGCACATATGACTATTACAGAAATATATATAAAGTTTTTGCACAAAATACTAAACTCGGGAAATTCTAATTTATGAAATTATAAAAATTAGGTTATACAATAATTTTAAACTAGAACAGAACAATGGAAACATAGAAACAGTAAAGAAATATTGAAGTATATCGAGGTATAAAAATAAATCAAGCTTACTTGCAACGCTGTTGATTTACTATAAACAATATCCTCGTCTGTACCCACGGCAGAGACGAGACAATCCATTTTACTAAAACTGTCATCTGTACCAACTTCTCCATCCTGTCGAATCAAAAAATATTACGATTATTGAGTTTATCGTGGAGCAATAACCGTTGAGAACAAGGAAACAGTGCAAACAATTGGTTACCTTCCACGCGGCGTAAAGACGCTTCATACGCCGAAAGAATGTGTCTTTGTCAACAGATACGTTTGCCATCGCTTCTTGTTTTCGACACGTTCGGTACAGCACAACACGCTTCCTTCCCCAAAATCAACTCGACATAAAACTATAATAAATAGTCCCAGCGTAAAAGATAATGAACTAAACATTCAGACGACACGATATCCTTAAATATTATCACATTTTCCTCTGTGTTCCATACAAAATGCGTAATACTATCAAAATTCACCGTTTGATGCGGAGATGGGGGGATTTATAACCAAACCACAACTGTAGTCCACAAACTACGGACCACGCGGCGGGAACGGATTTATGCAAGGCGTAGATAATTCACGAATTAAAATCAACTGGCAATGCCCCAAACAGTCGCCAGACGAACTAACGTCTCCCTTGAGGAGCGTTTACATTGCCACGAGCAAGCATAGAGCATACGCTTCACATAGAATAGAGGACCTTGCAGTCGAGTCGTGACATCGATAACGGTGTCTTAAAAACGATTATTCTATGGCTAACATCACACGCACGCGACGTGTAATCCAATGCATACATATATGCACGTATGCATAGGGACAGGGGGTTCCTATCGGGGCGTCAATTTTATTGCAAATAAGATTCTAATCTCTACGATATATGTATCATCAGGAAAAAAATGATATTTATTACGGAACTGTGATACGATTGCCGGCCCACCTGTATTAGTCTACCCGTAACGATCGTCGCAAATGTGTGAGAGAACTTCGATTGTAATTCATTCACATCGTCGCCTAGCTCGTGCCGATTTATTAGAGTGTTACCTTATATGTTGCTACGGTGCGAGTGAAAGAAGCGCAGTTCTATGCGATTAAACGTGTTTCATTGGGAACTGTAGCGAGGAGGTCGAACGGTCGACGTCGAACAATCTCAATGCATCCTGTTTTAAGGGGTACGACGATATCTCGACACCGTTGAAGCGTTAATATGCCGATATAAAAAAATAATGAGAAGGGCTTTAAAGAGGAAAAAATTCTCGTCGATACTGTGATACGTTCGAGCAGACAATACATTCTCCGATGCTCCGATAAACTCGACTCCGTGACAGTGCTAACGAATGTTGGCCGTTGGCTGCTGCTCTGTCAATTGTGTAAGGACACCTGTGAAAACGGCACTGGAAGCACTGCAACGGATCATGAATGTAAGCGCAGATTTTACAATGCAATCCTAATGTGACCGCGAGACCGCTGCTGCTATGCATACGAATAACTAATAAGCCGGAAACACTTGCGTTCGAAGATCCGATGTCCGTTCGAGACAAATTTTTCTTTTATTCACCTTTGCCTTAGAATATCACGTTTATTGAATAATTTCGATTTCCGTCGTAACAGTTGGAAAAACTGCATTGGCAAATGCGTTTTCGCTGCTAAACGACCCCGCATATGATTTTTGCGGTCGAATCTGTTCAACAATATTTCAATGCGTTCACGGTGGAAATGTATAAAAAAATAAAAATAAACCTGAACGAATGAACATTTCAGGTTGATTTATGTAACTTTGTCTGTAAATAATTGTAGTTTAAGGTCTCTCTTAATTGAGACTAGCTCAAGGTACTCGAGAATATTGGCATTTAATGCATTCCTTTTGCTTCTTCTATGTAAACTATTTTCAGAATATCCCGTTCTACATTATTCTGGCACGCAGTAGACATGAACTTGCTTATGTAACTGACATTAGATTACTGACCCAATGAATTTGTTTTCAATGACATCGACTGAATGTAATTACACTTTTAATAGTGATGTAGAATTAATCAGTCTGTGTGCTTCCACCGGATATATTCATTCGTTTCAATCATTTCTTCAAAATTAATAACATGGATTTTAACATAACCTTCCATCTATCATAAGCAAAGCAGTGTCTTTCAAATACTATATTTTAAAAGATCCAGTTTTTGTGCTTATAACGAGTGATCAAAGTCTCTGCACAAATAAAATTACATACATTATCGCTCTTGAAATTAAATTCCTAGAAGACATTAAGTCATGAAAATGAATGTGTTTATTTATAAATATTTTATTCCTAATTACAAACATATTCTGAGTATTGATTTTAACTGTTGCATACGAAATTCTTGATTCAGGTGGTCAGCATAGCAGAGAGGTGGTGTCGGGAAGGTGGTTGACACGCCTTCATATCTTTGAGATGATCGAAAGCGTGTCACGCAGAGCGTTGAGTGGCTCCAGTGGGAGCTACCACGTTCGTGGTGCTGAATTAGCAAGGAATCGTAGATTGAAATCTCTGTCTGCCACTGTTGTTTTTCTCGATGATACACAACACACGTTTCAGCTAGATGTAAGTCCTTGAAATAGTTAATTAAGAAAAGAATAAAATAGTATCTAATGTCAAATATAATATATTTCTTTACAATCACTTTAGAAGAGGGCAAAAGGTCAAGCATTATTGGATTTGGTATTTCAACATTTAGAACTTGTTGAGAAAGACTATTTTGGTTTACAATATGCAGAAAATGGAGCGACAGCTTGTACATATTCTCCAGATGTAATGGTAAAACTCTCCCAGAAGTCAAATGATTTAATTAAAAATCATTCAGTAGGTGAATCGAATGATAATCAAATTCCATTGGCGTTTCAGAGGTGGTTAGATCCTTCCAAACCAGTTAAAAAGCAGATAAGAAGTAAGGGTAAAGATCATATTTAAATACATGTTTGTATATAGTGCAAGAAAATAAAGTTAACAAAATGTTTAATCAAAATCGATTGTTTCAGGTGGGCAGTTTTATTTCAGGGTAAAATTTTATGTATCAGATCCTAGCAAATTGCAAGAGGAGTATACCAGGTATCAATTTTACTTGCAAATACGAAGAGACATTCTTCAAGGAAAACTTCAGTTACCACCAAGTACAGCATGTCTTATTGCCAGCTACACCGTTCAATGTGAGGATATTACTGCGTTTAGAATTACACAATTTTATAGTGAATTCATGTGCTTCGTTCGATGTAATTGTAGCTGAGTTAGGTGACTATCATCCTGAAGAACATGGTGCAGGATATCTGTCTAGGCTGCAGCTTATACCAGGTCAGACCGAGGAAATGGAGAAAAAGATAGCTGAATTACATAAACTTCATAAGTATGTCGAAACTGTATATCGAATACTATCAATATATAATTTGTTAAAATTATAAAACCTTTTTAGGGGTCAGTTACCGGCCGATGCAGAATTCAATTTTCTAGATCATGCAAAGAGGTTAGATATGTATGGAGTAGAATTACACAAAGCAAGAGTATGTACCTACATTGTACGACTTTAATGATATCGCATAAGTCTATTTTATTGAAATTATTTGCTTTCCTAGGATTCAACAAATAAAGAAATACAATTGGGCGTAACGTCTATAGGTTTAGTCGTATTTCAGAATGGAATCAAAATCAATGTGTTCTCATGGTCGAAAATAGTTAAAATATCATTTAAGCGAAAACAATTTTTCATTCAACTTAGGAGAGAACAGGTATCTATAGCATCGAATAGTGAAAATAAAAGACAAAGCGAATAGAGCTTGATTGTAAATTATACAAAATTATATTACAGTCAGAAAACTACGATACATTACTGGGATTCAACATGCAGACATATCGTAGTTCTAAAAATTTATGGAAAGCATGCGTGGAGCATCACACGTTCTTCAGGCTGCATAGTCCCAAAATGAGGCCGAGACGCTTTCCTCTTACCTTAAGCAGTAGGTTTACTTATTCAGGACGTACAGAATTCCAGACAGTCGAAGACGGAAAACACAGAGCGAGAGTAGAAAGAACATTTATACGGTAATATTAATACTTCTCCATTTCCGTTTCAGTGTTACAGTTTGAACGATTCTCATGTACTGACTTCAATAACAGATCTCCTAGTAAAAGATTGGTACACGGAGTCACATCGGCTCCGCTTATAGACGACAAAGGAAAATTATCTGTACTTCCTGGAAGACCTCCAAGACCATACGATAACAAAGTTCAATCTCTTGGTGCTCGCGAACCTCGCCAAGCATGGGGCGAGGGCAATCCTAGCGATGAGTTAGTTGAAAAATAATTTAACATCTTAGAATTTTCAATATTTTCAACGTGATCTGCATCGCTTTTTGTTTTGTTCCATAGCGAGGGTGGTTTCTTATCCCTTCGAGATGAAATATCAGGTTCACATACACAAGGCAACGCATTTTCTCCCGTATTAGGGTCTAGAGTCTTAAGTTATGCAGACGATGATACAACTGCTGAAAGAAATATTTATGATTTACCAGATTATAGTGAACCTACCAGTTCACCTGCCCCTCAGGTACTCCTGTTTCAATATTTTCTCAATTTATTCTCACTCTCAGTTTTAGAAATGAATGTACGCTGTATTATTTCTTTAGACCGTACAACGAAACTTTTACTTATAAATAGATTATATAATGGTCGATTATTATCACAGATTGTAGAAGATGGATTGGTGTCGATAACTCTAACACCAGATGAACAGGGTCGGTTTGGATTCAATGTGAAAGGTGGTTTGGACCTTGACATGCCTATTTTAGTGTCTAGGGTGGCTCCGAACACACCCGCTGATCGTTGCTATCCAAAGCTAAACGAAGGAGATCAGGTACATATTTTACTATTATATAGTTGTTATCATGCTTATCATAAGGTAATCATCATGAATATATTAATCAAATAGGTAGTCTACATCAATGGAATTGACGTGAGTGGATTATTGCACGAGCATGTAGTACATCTGATTCGTAAATCCCGCGATTCTGGTTCCGGTGAGCTGACATTAACTGTTAGGCCAAATGCTCTGTACAATGCACTAGCTGGTACCGATGAAACGTCTGAAGAGGAACCACCGTATAGGTATAGGAATTATTTGCAAACGTTATTAATTTTTCACATTTGAAATATTATTGCGGCACCTCGGTTACACTGTTCAACAAATTTAAACTTTTTTTCTGTCTTCTAATACCCACTAGGCGATTCTTGTAGAGCGTCACTGACATATTTAGGAACATTTTCTCTACTCTTTAGGCCAATGTGACCTTCCTAACGTTTTTAGTTTTCGTGCAAACCCGCATTTTTTTTTTATTGATATAGTGATGTAGCAATTCGGTTTTCGGATTCGTGTTTGGGAAGTGACACTCTGCAAGAATCACTCAGTAGGTATTAAAAGGCAAATGTGTGTTGTTACCTTAATATTTTAAGATATGTACCGGATGCGCCTCATGCGGCGATTGGATCAGATGCATTAGCACAGTCGATGTTGCTTCTCGCCGATGGTCTTGCGAGTGGTGCTCTAATCGCTCAGTACGAGCAGCTGTACCGAAAGAATCCCGAGCTTACTTCTCTGGAATCCAAGAAGCCTGAAAATCAAAATAAAAATCGTTATCGAGATATCTCGCCGTGTAAGTGAGAAGAAAAAAACAGGGAGAGATTGTATGTTTTAATTTAAGAAACAAGTTCCAGAAACTTATACTTTGTATGTTGTTTAGATGATGTTACTCGAGTAATACTTATGGGTTCCTCGAACGGTGATTATATTAACGCTAACTACGTGAACATGGAGATCCCTGGATCGGGAATTATCAATAGATACATTGCTACACAAGGACCATTATCAACTACCGTCGCTGATTTTTGGCAGATGGTTTTAGAGGCAGGCAGCACTCTTGTTGTCATGCTAACAACCCTTGTTGAGCGCGGTAGAGCAAAATGCCATCAGTATTGGCCCGCTCTTAACGAGACTCTCACGTTACGAAATCTCACGCTCACTTCTACGGTTGAAAACGTCGAAGAAACTTTCATATTTAGGGAATTTATACTCCGTGATATAAACGTAAGGATAATGCCGTTACTTATATAGGGTGTCCCAAAAATGTCTCGCAATCCGAAAGTAGGGGATTTCTGAGATCATTTGAAGTAACTTTTTCCTTAGCGAAAATGCAATCCGCGGCTTTGTTTACGAGTTATTAACGAAAAACAGTGACCAATCAGAGGCGAGATCATTCAGCGCGAGACGGCCTAGCCAATGAGCCGAACTGGACTCCGTGCACTCGTTGGCTGGGCCGCCACGCGCCAGCCGAGCTCGCCTCTTATTGGTCAGTGTTTTTCGTTAATAACTCGTAAACGAAGCCTCGGAGAAAATTTTTGCAAAGAAAAAGGTTGCTTCAAATGACCTCAGGAACCTCCCATTTCCGAATTGCGAGACATTTTCGGGACACCCTGTAGATAAACGATTATGGCATACGTGTTAATTATGCGTGTACGTTTCAGACTGGAGAAGAAAGAGATATTACACATATGCAATACTGTAGTTGGCCCGATCATGGAGTACCCAGTGATTGGAGACAGTTCACAACTTTTACCGAGAGAGTGAGGGCAGCTCGAACAGGAATAGTAGAACCTGCTGTAGTTCATTGTTCTGCCGGGATTGGTAGAACAGGTGTTTTAGTATTAATGGAAACGGCACTGTGTCTTATTGAAGCGAATCAACCGGTGTATCCGTTAGACATTGTGCGTTCTATGAGAGATCAAAGGGCGATGATGATACAAAATGCTGTGAGTTGACGTTTTCAAGTACACGTTGACAAGGTAAGATCGTCCTATTATAGTTAATAATACGAGTATTTACTTTTTTATAGAGTCAGTATAGATTCGTGTGCGAAGCAGTGCATAAGGCTTACAGCGAAGGAATAGCTAAACCACTTCCCGAGTTCAGCAGGTGAAAAGAAGAGGAGTAGAAACGCATTGTAATTTACCATGTTTCTTACATTTTCGTAAGAGAAAGGCATCACATCATTAGATGATAATTTTATACTCAGACAATAATATGCACATATATTATTGATTAGTAGAGAAGATATATTGATATTTATGGTAGGTGGTTTCTATCTTCTCGCGAATCAATTTTCATATAGAACATCATTTAATAGATACGAAGGAACATATAATTTTGGCATCCTTAGTTCGACGAAAGATCTTGAAGTTGATCAAAGTTCTCGTTTGGACGAACGTTTGTAAATAATGCGATCTTGACGAAGTAAGTTTACTAATTTATATTTAAGCTGGAAAACGTATTATTTAAAATGATTTTCTATTGTAGTTTAATAATTGAATATCATTACTAATTTCGGCTACCATGTGAGGAATGGGATGCGGAAATACGAAAAAGTTCGATTCTAGGAAGTTTATTGTGCTCTAATTGCGAAGATCAAATTCATTTCATCAAAAAGAATCATCGTTTCATTCGACTCCGTAGGGTACTATTTTTCAGATTGTTATCGGGAGATAATAATAGTGCAAATGCGACCACACTCATGAAATTAAGCATAACGCCTTAAGATCTATAAATGTTAATTGGAATGTTGAGAACAAATTGTTAGAATTACTGGAGGTGTCAATATAGAAATATTGCCTTGAAGACAACCGCGAGATGAGATGTTACAAAGTAATTAAGCGCAGAATTAAAAGAAATGGTAAAGTCTATAGTTAATCTATTTCAATAAGCTACAGAATGTAATTTTATAAAATGAAACCGTAAGACACGATTTTTGAATCTTTAAACGTTTTCATATAATTTCGAGATAAGCGTATTAGTCGTAAATACTGCTTGGCCATAAAATAATTGAAAGTATTGCCATCTTCGATCAAATTACCAATATTTCATTATATCTAATAGCTGAAAGTAGCACGTATGCTCGTGTAATGGATAAAAAAATTTTTTTTTTAACTCGTAGCGACCCGTTTCTACTATTAACTTATGGCTAAGTATCATATTCTACTTATAACGAACGTAACAATTTCTAATATCGTATAAACAGTGTACAGTTTAGATTTTATTGAACAAAAAAAAAGGAACGGACTAATCTAAATGGCAGATATACTATTGAAGTATTAAAGTTTACGCTCGTTTCGCGAGCAAAGTGCAAATATAATTGTAAAGAGAACTGTTTGAAACCGAAAATGGTAGTGTTCGAATTTTGGACGTAGTTCAAATTAGTTTGCGAGTAAGGTCGATAGTAAGAACGTAGAATGAAATCAAAAACAGTGATGTAAAATGTGCTACGAAGTAATCTATCTTGAGAAGATGCCTCTTCAAGAATCATTGACGTCCTTTAAACGTTCTATGAATGTTAAGAAAACGTACTATTTTTTTATAAGTGTATAATGTGTTCTACTTTCCGCCCATTTTTCGCAATGCCCAAATATCTTTGTGTCTTGCATACGTAAAACCTTTACGAAAATTGAACAGTCTGGTTAACTGAGTTTTTGGTACTTCAAATTTATCGCAAAAGTATCTTTCACGCACAAAACATATGAATCCGGAAAGACTTTGAATTAGAGATGAAGACTTTTCTTTTTATTAATTAAAAAAAAACCGTACATTCATATTGTTTGATGCAATACAATTCCTCTTCAAATCACAAATAATAATTATATGCACAAAGAAAAATAGAACAACGGAAATTAAATTGAAACAAAATTGTATTTACTTCTTTGTGTCTGTCATCAAATATTTATATAAACGTGGATATCATTTAACAAAGAATGCAACACATAAATTATTTGCGTGTAGGATATATAATATCGTATTACAAACACGTTGCCATTTTTGTATGTACATATACATGTATATTGTAATCCTTTGCGGTTCTTTAAAGTATTAATTATGTGTAAGTGTCCATTTTCATCGTCCTAACTTACTTTTAAAATATTGATAAATACCAGTGATTAGATTACCAGTGTCGCAAATACAAAATATACGCATCTCGTACAATTTTGTTCGAATCTTTAGAAATACGAATCGAAGAGATTGGAAATGTAGACATATTGGTGCAAAATGATTTTTTATTATGAATAAGACTGGACTGCAAAGGGGGGGACGGGGGTCGTCATTTCGTTGTTAAATATTTTCGATGATAAATACATAAGGATTGGGTGAATCTGTTAGGCATATCATAACAGTAAGTAGTAAAAGCACAATGCCGTTTTGATATCTTTTGTGTCTTTAATAATGATATTTATCTAAATTATTGACAATAGTGCCTTCTACGTGCAACCAGACCACAGTTACAAGGCGAGAATTCACAGTCTCGACGACTGTTACATTTTAGCAGCTTCACTCGATGCAGTTATATTAACAATTTCATTTTAAATTAACATTGAGTTTCTGTATATTATTTGTATAATTGTTCATAATTTTTTTTTATAATTTATCTGTCAACAATTATGTAAATATATTTACGTTTCATTGTAATTCCTATTTCATAAACCATGATTTCATACAGGTCACGCAACTATTTATTTACAATTATTATTGTATTATTAACGATACAATAACATTATAAATAGCAGTAATTATAAGTGTAATCAATCGCTTACATTTCAAGCTGTAACCGGTAACTCACGAACGATTACATCAATAGATATAAACCGATGAAAATATCACAACCATACAAATGTTTTATCCGAGATACAGATATAAATTAAATTGTTTAAGTAGCACCTTAGATCTTACGTTCTAACGCATATATGATATTAAACACTGGACTCTGTTTGAACAAATACAAAGATAATGTAATACAGTGATGTAATCAAAAGAAATGATTCTGATCAATTCAGAATTAATGTTTAAGAACATTGTTTCTACACAATAGGTGCAAAATACAGCGAAGTACGTGAAATATATATATCAAGAAAAACGCGAGAAACATTCTTTTGTAAATCTCATAGAAAACATTAACAATACATTTATGAAAATAGATATTGTATTCACACTGCATTTTTAAAGAATATGTATTCCGCGTAGTATTCATTTGACATAATTCATTAAAGCAAAACATTCGAATTCACTCTCATTCTTCGTGTGTACATAAAAACAGTACAAAGAATATTGAATAGTTTATTGAAATATTGAGAAGCTATATTCAATGATATTCAGCTGCATACGTGCCAAACGATACCACACAAAATAAATGCTAATTATAAATAAAGTGCCACAAAAATATTCATAATACAGTCAGTAGTTGTCTAGTCTCAATACTAATTTGTACTTCAAAAATATAAAATAAAAACATTTTATAGTATTTCGTCATTTAATCACTTCACCATTAATGACATTATCTTGTATACTTTGGTATATATTCAAGATATTGTAATAATAAATATAAATATTTAATAACATCTTTTTTTTAAATATATAATTGGTGTATAAATTGTGCTTTGCACAGCTCTATAATATACCATCAAAACTTCGTTAAATACAAAAACAATAATTTATGCTAGAATTCATTTCGGTTATTGTAACCGTTGAAGTTGCAGTTTGCAAGATGATTTACATGTTAAGAAAAATGGGCCTTCCTGGCCGGGACTGTACGTTGATGGAATAATATTATATGTTCCGGCTGGTACATTGTCCAATTCGAGATAGATGAACCCTGACCTACATTAAATCGAGTCATTAGTACACTTTCTATAAAAAGCTCTTATAGTGCATAATTTACATATACGTTACCTAAATGGACCAGAGTCTTTCATTTTAAACGCTCCAGGCGCTTCGGGATCATTTAATACTACCGACAGAACGTCAAATCCTATTTGATATTGTTTTGGACCCTTTAATATAATTAACAGATAGTTCTCATTAGTTGAACTTTCTAACAATAATTGGTAACGTGGATTATTTTGGTACGTCGGATGGTTGACGCATCCGCCAGCTGTAACGCTGTTCCATTGACCATCAGTAATCTAAAAAAAAAATTATTATTGACTATAAAGAAAAACTATACTGTATTTACATTTATATAAAAAATCATACCTCTTTCTCATATTTGTAAAAGGTAGACATCTTGCGTAACGTGAACGGACATGTGCCATACGCGCGTAAGGTGTAATATATTGTATTTGTTTTTTCATATTGCGAAACGACTAGAGTGTACCGTGTGTCGCTTTGAGTGTCTAGTTTTATTTTGCAAAGATAGTGTGGACTATTTATTTTTACACCTTTAACGTACGGTGGCGGATCATCTATGAAATAGATTGTTTACAATTAGTAGAGTTTGCGTCATTTACATAACAAATTACAATATTACCACGAGTTAGAACTCTATCACTTTCAGTAATTGATTTACGTGTAGTTCTTAAAGTTACCGCCAATAATCGTAGATGGCGTAACATGACTACGTATTATTTTAAGACTAATACTCCAAGATATGCAAATAAAGCTTTTATAAAATATTAAATCTATTTTTCAATATATTTAAAATTGTTACACTCACGTGGATAATATACTCTTCTTCCTTCATTTTTATAGACTAATACTGTTATGTATTCTTGATTTTCCCGAAAGTCTGCGATGTCTGTGATATGTCTTGTAAGAAGAATCCATATTGCACCTGTAACATTGCTTTGCACCTCTAATAAAAACTGCGGGTTATCGCCTATATTATACGCATCTTTCGCTGGACCAACACCCGCATTCCACATTCTATTAAACAAACGATTTTAATCAAATTCTGCACATGCAGAGCAATCTTCAATTAGAACATATGAGCCGTTTATTTTGAAAGTGGCATAAGTCACTTT